GGTGGGAGGCTCTGGACGCGCGACCTCATCATACAGCCTGGACTGTGGACACCTACCCTGACCTGCTCCGGCCAGTCGCCGTGTGCGCTCCTCGGCAGCCCGCTCCTGACCTGCGAAGGCGTTGGGACACCGGAGCCCTCGGCTCAGACGTGCCAAGGCCCTGACCTCTGTGCGGACCCACGGTCCTCTGCAGCCTGGTTCCCACGAAGGCAAATGCCCTGACGTGCTAAGTCCCTAGGTGCGCATACAAAGCTGGTGCGCATCCCACATGTCCTAACTCGACAAGTCTCTCACACGGGTGCTCAGGCCTGATGGGTACCTCCTGCTACTCGTTGGTCACTCAGCATGGACATCACCCCCTTCTTGGGAATCGAAGGCCCTGCCTCAACCTCCCCCGCTGGAACTTTCTGAGCCCCCCTTCCCCTGCAGGAGGGGCTGGTGGGCGAGAGTTGAGAGAATTCGTGGAGGCGGGTAGGGTGCTGCCCTCTCTTCACCCCTGCTCAGCCTGGGGCCCTGGGAACCTGGGCTTAGAGAGGGAGGAGGCAGCCCCCAAACAGGAAATGCCTCTCTGGGCTCCTGCTGCAGGAGGGCAGGGTTCGCTGGGGAGGGGGCTGGGCTGCACCCGGGTGCTTGGAACTGTGAAGAAGCTGGTTCAAGGCCATGTATGGGCACATAGACGTGGATGTGACACAGGCACCGTGTGGGTGGAGACCTCCCTGCCCCCAGGGGCCTGCAGCCTTGGCCTGGTCGCCATCTTGCCCACCCCCCTGGAGGCCTGTGACTGAGCCCCATCCTCTGAGGGTCTCTCGGGAGCTTATTAACCCCCTGCACACTTAGGCACTCTGAGCAGATGTTTGAGTCCTTGCATTCCACTTAGCCAGTGATGTGCTGGGTGACCTGGGGGAAGTCACTGGCCCTCTCTGGGCCTGTTTTTCTTATTTACAAGATGAGGAGAATGTGTCCAGCCTTTCAGCTCCCCAGGGCTATTGTATCACAGCTCTCAGTGTTTGCAAATGTGCTTTGTCAGCTGCACGGCATGAGACAAAATTTCCTCAGTCTTCTGAGCAAACTGGGGTAGAGGTGGTAGAGGACCTCACAGCACTGGGGCTGGGCTCACAGACACAGCCAGCACCCCAAGAGCTGGGGTGTTGGGAGTTCTTGCCAGGTGCTGAGAGTTCCTTCTTTCCAGGTCTAGGGCTGTGAAGCTGGAATAATGCCCCCCACCCGCGCGCCCTTTCAGGAGAAGCAAGTCAATATGAGGCAGTCTGTCCTTCCACTGGCTCAGGCCCCAGACCTTGAGATCATCATCGACTCATCCCTCCTGCACACACATGGCTAGATTTCACAGCAAATCCTGACGGCTGCACCTTCCTAGCAGATCCAACTCTGGCCACTTCTCATCATGTCCTTTGCCACCAGCCCTAACCACTGTCACCTTCTGTCTGGTTGTTTCCTACCCTCAGCTGTTCCTCTGAAGACAGAGGGGTCCTTTGGTCAGCAGCGCTAGCATGCTATGGACTAGAATTCCTTTCTGGATGATGCCTTTGAAAAACTGAGTCACATAGCACCTCCTCTGCTCATAACCCTCCCAGGCCTCACCTGACTTGGAGGAGAGGCGATGGTCCAATCATGGCCTTCCGCCTCTGTAATGTGCCCCCAAGCCTCTCATCCACCTTGTTCCCTGCACTCCAGCCACCCTGGCATCCTCACTGTTCTCCAAGCGGGCAGGAACCTTGTCACCTAAGGTAGACAAAACAATCTACCGCAGGGCCTTTGCTCTGGCTGCGTACCCTGCCTCCCTGCTCTTCCTTGCAGTATCTGCCCTGGTCCAAGTCCCATTCAGCCAATGATGTGCTGTGTGACCTGGGAGAAGTCACTGGGCCTTTATTTTTCTTATCTATCTACTTCCTTCAAGCTTCTCTGCTCAAGTGTCAGGGCCCCCACCTCCCCTAGGACTCCCTGAGTCTTGTTCTTGCTCCATTTTCCCTGTTTTCAGGTATTATGATCTGCCATGGTATATATTTATTTACTGATTTGCTCATTGCTGGAATCTCTCTAGCCCAGGGTCTCTTAGCCTTGATATGTGGGTTGAGGTGTCTGGGTTATGCCCTATAGGATGGTTCGCATCATCCTTGAGTCCTGTGCATTAGATGCTAGCAACCGCTCCTTGGTTCCGGCAATCTAAAGTGTCTCCAGGAAGAGCGCCCTGGAATTCCTGCCCTAGAAGGAGAGAGAGAGGAGAGGGGAGAGGGGAGAGAGGAGAGAGAGAGAGAGAGAAGAGAGGAAAGAGGAGAGAGAAAGGAGAGGTGGGGGAGAGAGAGAAGAGAGGAAAGAGGAGAGAGGAGAGAGAGAGGAGACAGAGAGAAGAGAGGAGAGAGAGAGAGAGAGAGAGAAGAGAGGAAAGAGGAGAGAGGGGGAAGAGAGAGAGAGAGATAGGAGAGAGAGAAAAGAGGAGAGAGAGAGAGAGAGAGGAACGAGGAGAGAGAGAGAAGAGAGGAAAGAGGAGAGAGAGAGAGAAGAGAGGAAAGAGGAGAGAGAGAAGAGAGGAAAGAGGAGAGAGAGAGAGAGAAGAGAGGAGAGAGAGAAAAGAGGAAAGAGAGAGAGCGAGAAGAGAGGAAAGAGGAGAGAGAAAGGGGGGGAGAGAGAGAGAAGAGGGGAA